TTCGAAAATTTTATCAATGCTAACAGGAAACGTGCAAAGATACTATAGTTCAGATACTTTGGGTCATACATGAGATGGTGGGATCCTTGATAACATGGAGCCTATGGAATTATTACACTCGTTAAATTTGTCATGTCATCCTAATCATTGCTTAGAGTTGAAAGTTGGTGCCCCGGTAATATTTATGCGAAATATGAACCAATCCATAGGGTTGTGCAATGGAACACGCCTTATAATCAAGAAATTGGGTTATAGAGTGATTGAGGCACAAGTGATCACAGGTCCAAGAGCTACAGAATCAGTTCTAATTCCGTGAATTGATTTAACACTTTCCAACAAGAAGATAGATCTCCCTCTTAAAAGAAGGCAATTTCCATTAATTTTAGCCTTTGCCATGACAATAAATAAAAGCTAAGGACAAATGATGAGACAAGTTGGCATTTTCTCCCTAGGTCGTGTTTAGTCATGGCCAATTATATTTTGCAATGTCACGAGTTACATCTCCTTTCTGGCTAAAAATCTTAGTACAAAATAAGAAGGATGTTTCTCACAGTTTGACTAAAAATATTGTGTATAAGGAAGTATTAACCAGTATAAATTAGCTATGTATGTAGTTTTGCTATAACATTTATTTAGAAACTCTTAGCAATGTTTGTTTTAGTGTAATTTCAAAGCGATACTTTTTATATAGGAAAAATTGCTCCCATTAATCTGAACTTTGCCTCGTCCGCCGAAAATAATCCCAACTTTCGTTTATTATCTATTGCACCGAACTTTGGGGGGTATTAATTTTCGTTTATTATTATTATTATTATTATTATTATTATTATTATTATTATTATTATCATCATCATCATCATCATCATCATCATCATCATTATTATTATTATTATTACTACTATTATTATTATTATTAAATATTAATTATTATTATTATTACTAAATATTAATTATTATTATTATTTTTTTGAAAGAAATATTTATTATTATTATTATTAATATTATTACTACTACTACTACTACTACTAATATTATCGCATTATTATTATAATCATTAAATTTTTAAAGTTAAATATTAATTATTATTATATTAATTATAATTATTATTAAATATTATTTAATTATTATTATTATTAAAAAATAATAATTAGTATTATATTTAAATATAGTTATTATCTTAATATTAATTGCTATTATAAAAATCAATTATTGTTATTATAATTAATATTATTATTTATAAGTATTATTATTACTATTAGTATAATTACTATTATTATTATTATTATTATTAAATATTAATTATTATTGTTATTATTATTATTATTATTATTGTTATTAATAATTATTAATAATTTATTATTATTATTATTATTATTATTATTATTATTATTATTAAATATTAATAATTATTTTTTAATAATAATAATAATAACAGTTATTATTAATAAATATTAAATAATATAATTAATATTTATTATTGTTATCTATTATTATTTATTTATTATTATTAATTATTAATTATTATTATAATAATTTAATATGAAGTATTAATTTTAAGTAGAGCAGAGCAGGGCAGAGTAGATTGAAGCAGAGCAGAGCAGATTTCAGCAGAGCAATGCAGATTTCAGCAGAGCAGAGCAGAGCAAAGCAGCTCTAAAGAACGGGGCCTTATTTGTGCATTAATATTCTACCAACATAGATTAAACAGGTTTAGGGTAATCCTATTGATTGTATGTTAGTCATAAAGCGCACATGAATACGATCAGAATAAAGTAGAGGCCTATTATTAGGGCAGGTTCAATCTCTTTTAGGTTAGATTTGTACCTTCATCCCCGAACCCTATTTGGTTCAAGACCTTATGGAGTTAACGATCTCTTGGATCGTTAAGGGGTGTAACCTTCACCCTGTGAACGGTTTACAAGTTCCTAAAACTTGTTGGCGACTCTTTTGCTCTATCTTCTTTCCCTTTGGACGCCACCGTACTTTAGTGTATGATCACAGTGGGGTTCAAGCTAAGGGGATTAACGCTTGAAATATTCCCTACAGACATATTATTACCATAACAAGTTTATTAGATAATCTCTTTTTATTTACTCAATTATAAGCCTTGTTCGCGGAAGATAGGGAGTATAGACGTATAGTACACGCAAAAACTAATATTTAGTACAATAGTTAAATGGTTTATCAACTCAAAAATTAGTTAATAAAAAATTATTACGCTCCACATATTACTTTGTATTTTGTAAATTTTTTTAATTAAACTTAATTTCGTACCCCCATTTTTCGAATCCTGGATCTACCACTGTTCACCACCACCACTGAAATAGAGGAACAAGAGGAGAGAAAATAACGTTCTAGTAACCACCGTGCATACATGAGCATTTATAAAAAAAATTGGAAAATTAAAGGTCGAATTAAGTTGTGGTGGTTGTAGATCGTACATACCACCACCAAAATAAACACAAGAAATTCGACCTTTACCCGATCAAAGAAATTGAGATCCAAATACCCATACTACAATCGCCTTTACCCGATCAACATTTCAAAAATTGAGATCCAAATACCCATACATGTAGTTTTGTTTTAGATATGGAATTGGCAGCCAAATTTGACACCGTAGCCTCGATTGTGGACTTTTAGTAAACTTTGAGTACGTCGATGGTGGTGGACACGGCCGGAGGTGATGAGAGAGAGTATGATGGGAGAAGGGAGGAGGCTATTGTCGGTGAAGAGGAGAGATAGGGCGGTGATTGATATTTTTTAAAAAAAAAAAGTGAGGTGGTGGTTGTGGTGGCTGCCACGGTTTAAAGTGGAGGAGAGAGGGAGGATGTGACGGTGGCCGGTAATCAATTAACTATGGGGGTTGACTGAGGTGAGGAAGGGGGAAAGGTTAAAGGGTATATTATAGTATAGTATTATATTGAAATAGTTCTATGGGTAAATAAGTAAAAGTGTAGTGTTATATTTGCTATAAAAGGAAACAAGTCAAGTAAAAAGAAACTTCACAAAAAGGAATACAGGTCAAGTACTATAGAATGGAAGAAGTATATACTAAGGAATTACTCGCCTGCATAATGACTACATTTGTTATTAATGAACAGGAATTTGGAGACTACTTTTTAGAGGAGAATCTGAGTGAACATTTGATGAATACATTCACTTTTATACTACATGTTCCTGAGATAGAAAATGATGATATTGTAGTTGTATCTGTTTTACAAGTAAGATGGGAGGAAGAATTCTACTATTTGAAACGAGAGATGCGTGGACAATCTAATTGAATACTTAGATTCATTCAGCATAATATTTAAAGACTTTAATATTTTTTATTTTATATATATATATATGAATTCAACACTTGGTTTTTTTTTTTTTAATTTGTTATCAGATTATTTTTTTTTTGTCGTCATTATTTTTGGTTTAGTTAAATACTACTCCCTCCGTCCCTTTATTACATGCCTATTTCTCATTTTGCACGGGAATTAAGAAAGTTAAAGATTCCTTAAAGCTAATAATTGGGAGTATAAATATGCATGTGGTGTTAGAGAGAGATAGAGAGAAAGAAAAAGTGGTTGGGAATTAGGAGAGAGAAAGTATTGGAAATTGATGATAAAGTACAAAAAAGAAAAAGAAAAAGGTGACAAATCATCAAACAATAGGTCTTGTATGGACCCGGTCTACAATAAATTATTGTAGACCCAAAATTTGACACTTTCAAATAATATAATCACATTCTGGGTGATATAATCACCTTTTTAGATGATATAATTATTTTTTTGTGAGTCATATTTTGAATAATATAATCTCATATTAAACCATTTAATAAGATTATATAATTATCTTTAGGATGATAAAATTTAAAAATCTTGTTTTGAATGATGTAATTTACTATTTGATACTTTTTATAATGATAAATTCACTTTTTTAGTTATACATTTACATAACAGTTTTAAAATGATATAATCACTTTTGTAGTAATATAATCACATCTCGTATGATATAATCACATTTGTATGGTATACAAGAAGGTTGGGTCTACAATAAGTTATTGTAGACTGGGTCTATTCTAGTCTTTGTAATCATCAAAAAGAGAATAATATTGTCAAAAAGTACAACCTATAAATAGAAATAGGCACTTAATTTTGATCACCCCAAAAGGGAATACAGACATGTAATAATGGGACGGAGGGAGTATATGCATCTACATACTTTGCATTTTTTTAATCCTATCCTTAATTATAACCCGTGCACTAGCACACGGGCACATTCTAGTAATAATAAAAAGATAGTTTTTTTTGCCAAAAAAAAAGAAGTATAACACTTATTAAAACACGGTCATATTTGGTAAGTGTAACACTTATCAAAACACGGAGATAGTACTATATTTTATCAATTTTCTCTCTTACTTTAAACCCCGCAAAACTTATTTTATCATTTCTCTCTCTTCCATAGTCCCTAATAAAATAATAAAAATATTTATCCTCTCACATATTTAATCTTTCGTAGTCCCCATCTTACTTTTGTTATAATAATTTATTCAACCACTCACAATATTATATTACTTTCATCCTTGTGTCATCAATGCAAATAAAATAATAATAAAAAAAAAAACTGAGGTAGTACAATTTTGTCATTAGATTTATGATGATTTATCCATATACCTAGAGGTGAAAGTAATTCGGATTAAAACCGAATCGAACCAAAAACCAAACCGAATTAGTAATTCGGTTTGGATTATTTAAGAATTCGGATTGGATCGGATTGGAAAAATTAAAAAATATGGATTACAGATTGGATTCGGTTTGGGGTTTACAAAAACCGAAAACCAAATTACAAACCGAATTTTGACCCAATACTTTAAGCCCATTTTCTTTTTCAAAGTATCCAACCACTTTCCCCTTTCATATATAAACTTAAAAAAAGAACTTAATTCTCAATTCTCACAAAGAATGTAGTTAACAAGAAATGATTGTAGGAATTTTAAGGGTGAAATTCGAGTTTCGGATTTAAATGTTGCAAAAAAGGGAACAAATTTCGGATTGGATTGGATTCTAATTTGAAAAAACCGAATTAATTTGGTTTAGATTGGGTTGGATTGAATCTTAATTCGGTTTGGATTCGAATTGAGATTTCCGAAACCAAAATAATTCGAATTGGATTCGATTTTGGCTATAATCCAAACCGCAAACCGAACTTTCACCCCTACATATACCTGAAAGAAAATCATCGTTTTTGTATACTCAATCTGGTTGTTCAAAAAAAAAAAAAAAAATATCAATCCCTTTATTCAGTTCCATGTCAATGTCATTCTTAGTGAACAAAATCTGCTGTAATTCATTGTTCCCCTCACCCCACAATAAGGTATTTACTCATCTCTCTTTCTACGACTATCCCATTTCCTCATTTTTATTTAATTATTTTTTGGTTATAGATATGTTGAAATTTTGTTTGAATTGTAGAATAATTGGGATGTGTGCAAAAAAACTAGCAATGTGATAATTCAGAGTCACTGGGTTAGAAATTCAGCAATACCCCATCTCAAGCTTAATAACAATTTTTCTTGGAATTATCATCACCATTTTACACTCCATTCAATTAATAACGGTGGTACTACGGTGAGTTCTTGCCTCGAAATTATATTTGTATGTATCATTTTTATAAAATTGTGGTAATTCAAGGTGATGTGATTGCATTTTTTTAGTTTTCTTGAATGTCATTATGTTTTACATGTATTAATGGATAAAAATAGTTTAATTGTTACAAGCCTGGATAAGAGGAGGGTTACAATAGGCCTGTGGTAGCTTAGTCACATCACTTGACATGAGCTTCAATGATTGAGAGTAGTACTAGGATGGGTGATCTCCTAGGAAATGCTCATACTGGTTCATGTAGCCAACCCCACTTATAAGATTAAGGCGTTCAAGAAGAAGTTCTTCCAAAACCCTTAATTGTGATATTGTGTATGGTTTGTTTTTGTTTGGAGATTTATAGCAGTTAAGCATAATAGCACCCCATGTAGTACTTTAAAGTGAATTTGTTGTGCAAAGAGTGTGTTATGACTCGTGGCCGCCTGCTCGGCAGGGGACGGCTCCTCAATTGTGAGTCATTGCCTTTTCCTGATCCAAGAAAAATGTTTTGGCTTTTGGGTGGCCCTATTTCTTGTGCTGCGACGGAATTTTTGTTGATGGAAGAGTTGAAGACTAGTTTTATGCACAAGTATTGATAAATGAGGTGAATTTGGAACCATCGTTATTAGTTGAGCTAGCTGACATTGTGTAAATATTTCAAGGATGAATGAGTACTTGGAGTGGAAGCTTACATTTGTGTAACCATGATGTCCTTTCTTTTGGTTTGTTTGGGTGCTTTTTTGTCTAATTTTTGCCTGTTTATTAGTTTGGAGAAACGGGAGCCCTGTTCTTAAATATAATTTGGGGCCTATATATTTGAAAATTTTTACTAAATTAAATATTTTTGGATAAAATTGAAGATTTTAGTAAACAAATGCTATTACAGCAAGATAAGTAAACGTTAGGAGATGCAGTACTAGGTTGTAGACTTGTAGCAATGTAATTTGTAAAAAAACTTGATCAAACTTTGTAAAAAATAATATACATACTTAAGGCACTTCACGACTCGTAGTTCACTTCAGATTGTAAATTTGCAGAGTAGTAGAGATGAAACCAATATAAGAGTAGTGTTGTTGTAGTTTACCCCAAATTCCCAATATGTAATTGAATAATGATTTTTTTTTTAATATTTATAATTGTTAGGATTTCCTGAATCTAATTGACAGTCTTGTATGGAAAAGAGGGCAAGTATGAAAATTAATTGATTAGTTTGGAAAAGAAATAAAATTTAATGGGAAACTAAAATAGATAAATTAAATAATGACTGTAATTGAGATTTGAGAATTTGTAGAGTTTTAAATAAGCGTGACTTTAGGATATGATGGAAGTGAGAGTAAAGAAAACTGATTTCCAGGCCATGAAAAACGGGAATACAACATAGTTGGGCCCTCTAATTTTTTGGGGCCCTGAGCACTAGCACACTTTGCACACCCTTGTCTACCTGACTGCAGTGTTGCACTTCTAGGATTAGGAATTACACATAGTTGTAATCTATGAAAAATGACTTTATTTTAATGCGGAAATTGTTTACTAAGTGATAGCTTCACATTTCTTCTAACTTTAGCTTGCGAGTCCGTTCTTAAAAGCTAAAAATAAAACTGCTGAACCAACCATCTTTCAGCTACCAAAAGTGAGCTTGAGAAAGTTACTTGGGTAAATGGTATTTGCCATTCTTCTCGCTGCTATTCTGTCTAGTGAACTTGTTAGTTCTGATGAAAACTTATTTAGCCTGAACTCATACAAACGATCAAACTTGTTTGAACTTATTGCAACGATAAAACTTAATTAACTTATTTTACCGCATCAGAATTTTTTCTGAAGCTATTTAGTTTTTTACTAAGCTTATTAGTCCTTGTTTGAACTCATATGACCTTTTCTTTGGTTATAAGAAATGCAATATATTAACAGATGAAAATTGATTATTCAGAAAGAGGACATACTGTCCTTAAATCAATGTTTCAGACTACAGATCATTCCCGTTTCTTCAAACTTTCCCAATTGAATGACTTTTAATTTTCCTCAGTCAGTCATAGTCCATAGAGACCCTAGATAAGCTATTATGTCTCACACAGAGTGTAAAAAGTGTGCCTTGGCACACCTAAGTGCTAGGCGATTCGGGTAGAACGTTTTGTTTGCTATAGACAAGGCGCACCCAAGACCTGATTCGCGCACAAGAGTTGCACATCAGTCATTTTTTATATTAATGAGGCACACTGAAGTGCACCTGGTGCAGGCCGCGCAGCAGGACCCTTATTGCTTTAGTGTTCCTTGAGCTTTATTATAAATTGGTCTCACACCAACTCAAAAGATAAAGCTCAAATAAAGATAGAGGAATTTTGTCCCCACCAAGTACACCACAAAATTGTCACAACAGCATTGCACCACCACATTTTATCCTTGTCCACCTCAAACTGCATAAAACAAAATTATAGCCAATCCACCGCCGTGAAAGGGAAATTCATGACTATTGATACAAGACAAACAAACTTTCCCAAAGGTGACTTGCCATTTCATAATATATGGAAGAGAAGTAAAGATGACACAGTAGCTCATTTAGAATTTGTTTGTGGCCAGGTCTAGTGATTTGAAAAAAATAAGTCATCAACTTGCTGGACAGTTTTCTCTCATTTCTTTTTGAAGTAGAAACTCTTCATTTTAGTAATTTTCAATTGTATCTCTATCGAATTAAATAAGTAAATGTTTGAATGTAAAGACTCCTAGGATTTGGTTATTTGCTTCATCAATGAGATTGAAATTTTAATCAACAATAATATTAGAACCTTAATCTCAACGATGGAGTTGGCAAAACCACCAATTGATGATTCAAAGCCTCCTATATTAACATGAGGTACATATGTACTATCTCCAGTTACACACATTAACCATTTTCTCATTGACCTATCGCTCTTTTTAATAAACCTCAATCATATTCTTTGCTAGCTTATAGTTGTGTATAATACCAACTGTTCCTAGTTTTATCATGCTTACCACAGATTATAATTTCAAGGTGAAACAACTTTGGTTCTATATTCTATCTACTTAGTAACAACAACAATCCCAAAGACGTAGTTGGCAACATAAATCAAAATTTTAGACGTCAACTAAGTTTTCTCTTTTTCCATGCCCTTATAGCAAGTGTTACAATGTATATGCTTTTGTAAGCCCATTTTTTTTATATCATACTTGTGTCCTTCCATCCAAGTCTTCTTTTGTCTCCTTCGAAGATTCTTGTGATCTCAACTCTTCACTTTCTTTATTGTTGCACCTTCTTGTGATCTCAATTGGTTCTCCCTTGTTCAATTCTCAATGTCCAACTCCAACTTTCCTTCAAATGTCTTCAATCCTAATTCTATCCCTTGAGGTATTTCTTGCTGACTTGCTTTTGTCACGAGGAGGAATGAATACTATGATAGCCACCTCAAATGTTACTCAGATCTACTTTGGCATACTCTTGCCATATTCATGGTATACCAATGTCAGACATGGGTTTGGTCCTTCAAAAATAGAGAAAACCTATGGAAAATTAGAAGTATCTGTGTTGGAACTTGGAAGCTATATAATAGATCAACACTTTTGGCAATTTTGAGTACTGCAGATTATTTCTACATTTACTTTTGCACGAACTTGTATCTAATTTATCTATTCATTCTTTTCTTAGGCACATGGCTTACCAGATTCTCAAAAAATTTCAGCAGAACCTGAAGGTACTAGTAAGTATTTTATATTTATATGTATTCTTTTTGGGAACTTTTGATTTACTAACATCAATTTTAATTTTTCAGGCTCAATGGAAGGAAACGATGGTCGACAAGAAAGATCACTGTCAGCCACCAAGTACTGTAGTCACTTGCATTAGAAGTATTATCTGTCAATAGTAAGGTTTAACTTTTGATAAAGTAATTTGATAGGTGTAGTTTTAATACCATACTAGTATAGATTAAACACACTGTCTGTGCATATAACAACTAACTGACAACTAGTGCTGTGGTATACTGGTATTCTCACTTCTCTTTTTGAAGCTGCCCATTATAGTGCAACCTCGACCAAAAATTGTGAACAAAATTTGTTAGAAAGTGAACGTTCTATATATGTTCAGGAGTCCTTCCAACATTGTGTTTCTTATGATACCATTTTGTTGACTATTGAATTTTCTCTCCAACATTTAATTTGATTCCCTCCATTCAGTTAATCATCTATCTAGACTCTATTTTAACTAGAATGACCATTAAATCCAAATGAAGTATATATTTTCTTTGATGAGAAACCATAGCATCCTGAGGTCTTCATTATTGTGCCGTGACTTCTGAGTAAATTGACGAGGAGATATAAAAGTTCATCATGAGATTTATGACATTAATTGCCACAAGTAGCTGACTTTCGTGCATGTGCATATATTTGGTTGAAATAGGAAGAATTCACTCTGCCTAAAATTTGTTACTTCTATGTAGCTATGAGGTGTGAGTTAAAGTCCTGAGTCAGTCATGAAATGGTATAAAGTCTGTATATTTGCAGTAGTGCATCTGATTCTATCAGCTATAGATTATGTGGTGTAGGTTAGGTATAATGATTGTTCTTGTGAACGGAGGAACTTAATCATGCTCCAGTACAGTGATTGAATGGATTTGTTTATGCTTTCCTTTTATGCTTCTAAGTATTAGAAGTGAGTTTGTTAGTTGTAATGCACTATTTGTACTTGCTTAATGTATGCACTTCAATTCTTTTTTTTTTTTTTTTTAAATTCTCACATATTGTGTATTGAAGTTACATATTTGTAGGGGAGGATAAGAGAGTGAAGAGGGAAGGGGAAGATATCCCTTCCTAATTTTTTCGAACTTCGGAAGGGTTTAGTTCACTAACGAGGGAGAAAAAATAGAACACTCCTATTCCTTTCTCTTCCATTATCCAGTCTCCAACATCACTAGGGAAAAATTATTCCCTACTCCCCTTCCCCTTTCCTTCTCTTCAAATTCTCTCGTCTGAACAAAGTAACAAACTGCTGTAGGATAACTTTTTCACTGAGAACTAATTATTGTGCAAACTTGGCAGAATATTGGAGCAGTTGAAAAGATATGGAGCTTCTGGAGTACTGTCATATGGTCTACTGAACACTGCCTATTACCTTACTACCTTTCTCTTGGTGTGGTGAGTAACTAGAAATCAAAAGTGTTGACTCTGTGTGTTTGACTCTCAGGGAATTTGTGTATTAATGTATTTCTGGACCTGTACATTTCCTATCAGCACTTGGACACTTACTGGGTGGTGGTGGTTAAATTGCTTACATTGATTTTCCACCTGTTGCTTCAGGTTCTATTTTGCTCCGGCACCTGGAAAAATGGGTTATCTTGCTGCTGTTTCAAGGTAACTGCATGTTATACCAATAATATTTCATTCCGATTAAGTTAATTTTTTCTAATGTCATTTTACGTATATTGGATGCAGATTTCTAAAAGTAATGGCCATGGTTTGGGCAGGAAGTCAAGTCACTAAGCTCTTAAGAGCAGCAGGGTAAGCTATCAATTCTACTGCTATATAATCAGTTACGAACTAGCTTAGTAGCTTAGGTTGCTAAGAAGAACTTTATAGTAATACAGCTTTATAAATGGGACAAATAAATTCTTAATAAACTGCCGCTTTTAATTTTCCCTATCACTGACAACTTCCCAAGTAGTTGCTTGTTCCATTTAGTAAAAGCTAAAAACTCTTTCCATTCCCCTTTCTCCAAAACTCATATTAATTGTGAACTAAAGCAGAGTGTCATCCAGTTTCTATCACTCTATGTTCATTTGGTAGAGTTGACGGTATGTTGGTAACCAGAATGATAGTGATTAGAGATCAGACTGGAAAGAAGGGATATAAAAGGTTCAAAGGCTAAATTATGTTGTGTTTATGTGAGTTGTCTTACGTTGTAGAAGTAAAGAGAAATAACAACCTTATAAGCCTAGGGAGTTAATCCTTCCATAGCCAATTGACTTGAGTAATCTAAACTCTTCTCTAGGGATTTTATACACTACACGATTGTCTTTTTTTGCTTTACTTCTGCTGATGGGATATCATATCGCGTGGGTTTGAATCGCCTTGCTACTCATTATATGTGATCTGACAATATTTACTCGCCATTACAGTGCCCTTGCCCTTGCACCTCTTGTAGATAGGGGATTGTCATGGTTTACTGTCAGATACAAATTTGAGTCACGGGGAAAGGTTAGTATACTTGTCAAGAAATTATAGTGTCTTCTGTGTGGCTGCTTAAATTACTGAACTTTTTTGTTTTTGTAAACTTCTGCAGGCTTTCTTCACAGTTGTCGCATTTTGTCTGAGTTTAGCTTTAATCATGTTTTTAGCCGTCACTCTGCTTTCAGCATGACATATCTTCTTTCATTGTTTCTGAATCAAAGAGAGCTATTCTATCTTTTCTTTGTAAATCAGACATCTATATTTGACTAGTATAGAATTTTGCCAATCGTAATTGAGTTGATAACCTCCCGGTGCCCGTCAAAAAAAAAAAAAAAAAAAAAAAAAGAAGATAACCTCCCGGTGATTTTGTTATTTTCTTCCTTTTGTGGAGTAAAATGACTCACTGTCTGAACTAATGCTGTCACGCTGAGTAGTTTACGAAAGCTGGTTATGAGAAACATCTTTTGAGGTACTCATTTGTGAAGTTGCTCCAATTTCCTTTTCAAGACGTTTTTAAATATTTGCTCCATTTCTTTTTTGGAAAGTTTTTACAATATTTAATTCATTTATCACACTTAATGGACCCAACATAATACACTCTCTCTTATTCTTCCACTACTTTGTTTTTTTACAATTTTTTATTTTCTCAACTATTCCACTACCTCCATATTTTATTATTTTATCCAATTTCTTCTAAAACTCCGCACATGGAGAAATGAAGCAAGTATTTAAAAACGGAGGGAGTAGCTCTCAATTCTTTAAATCAAAAGGACAGTGTGATATAAAATGAAAATACCTTCTCCTAGTGATGAGTTTGTCTATTTGTCATGCTAATTAAAAATTTATCTCACCTTACAATTCCTCTTGATCAAAAGTATCTTCCCGGAACAGAACACTGCCTGCAGAAATTGAAGACGCAAAAAACTATGTAACAAACCAAAGAAATACTCCCTTTATGAACAGCCTAACATTCATTTAAAAAAGAAAGAATAACATGTCTTTCACAAATTCGGACTTTGCCTGTCTTTCGTAGTAGATGGAAAAATTAGAAGAATGAATGCCAGTTCGACGATGTTGGACCTACCCAAAAAAAAATTGTTTGTCCCTCCCTTCTATAATAACTTAATACAAATTTGAAAGTTTTGAAAAAGTATCCAATAATTCCATCAAGACGAGATTCTTTGGTAATGTAATTGGGTTTAGAGCATCTCATTGCGGATGTCGCCCAGAATTTATCCCTGCTTTCCTTCTTCCTCCACCTCACTTTCTCTTTCCTCCACCTTACTTTCCAATAACATCACTATTTACTTTCCAATAACATCACTATTTACTTTCCAATAGCATCCCTGCAATAGTAAACAAGGTATTAGACTTGAACGTTATGTGGGTAAAAACTTTTCAAAATAAAACAAAGAGGAAACATCACCCAAGAATGTGAGTACAAAATTCCCGAAAGTTCAACCTTTCAATTGTAGACTCTTGTTTTCAGGAATGTGGAAGGCATGGAAATAGTAAATAAGTGTAAGGAAAAAAATGAATAAAGTAAAAGAGACTAGGTAAAAAGGTAGGTGTATAACAAAAAAGTGGAAAAAGCAAGTGAAAGATTATAAAATGCCGTAAATTATTTGAATAACTTTTGTATACATCTGGTGTACAGTAATTTACTATACATCGAGGGTCACTTTTTATCAAATATAGGGTCACTTTTACAATTCTTTGGGTAATTTTTATCAATAAAGCATAAATAATTCATAACTTTTATTTATTTCAGGGTAACTTTTATTCATATTAATGTAACTTTTGCTCATTATAGGGTAACTTTATAATGGATGTACAATATTTATTGTACATCCAATTTCTTTAAAAGTTTGTCAAACGGTGTGGGGTATGAGGGTAAGATTGTAAAAGGGGATTTTTCATTATAAGACTAAAGTAGAAATGAGTTGAACTTTTAAAAACGAATCAAATTGAAAAGCAGGATAAACTTTCAAGAATGGAAGAGTATAAGAACCAAATATCACAAGTCATTTTAGCACGTTATTGGAATATGTCTCTTCAAAAGTAGGAGTATGTAGCACAGAAAAAGCTGATTCAAGTCCCACCATTTTTGGGCTTCATAAGCACGAAAACAGGAAGACCTCGGACACTAGAAGTTTCCGTGCTTCCTTCGATGAAAGAGTAGTCAATGAGATTGATCACTCACTTCATCGAAACTCATAAGCATTCCAAATAAATCATTCAATAGGAAAAAAAATTAGTAAGACACGTTTATACTAAAGATAGGATTGGGCATAAAAAGAAAAAGAAAAAAAAAAGTGCATCATGTATTCATATAACATGGTAGTTAGCTAACAACAGATAACAAAGCAAAAACCTAACGCAATTGACCTTCATTTTGAAGTGAGGATAGCTTCAGGGAGAGTAAAAGAGGTCATACTTTCACAGGGAATCAGATAGTTTAATGCTAACCATATAGTAATATGATTGATTGATTTATTATTACCTTTACAACAAATTAGCAATAAAACTGTGACATTTATTGGCATTTCAAAGCGAACTTCATTTGCAATAGCACTACAACAGGAAAATCCTAAATAACATGTACTTTCTACAAGCAAATTGGATGTGGGACAAATATGCCTGTGTGATAAGCAACAGTATAGATTACATCCTCAGTCTACAACAGCAACCCAGTTTAAATCCTGCTGAAACAGGTTCTGGAAAGCATCTATTGTTATTGTCCCTATAAAATCAATATAGTTAATTTCACAGTGACATCTTTAGCAAGCAGAATTTTTCAGTTACAGGATTACCTCATTCTTTGTATATTAGACAAACACCACACGTTAACATCAGATACAGGCTTACTTCAAGATTGGCCACTTTTTCCGAAAATATGAGATTAGCACATAGGGATGCATAACTTATGTCAACAAAGCCTATAACCTAGTTCTTTCAAAAAAAACAAAAAGCCTATAACATAGTGTCAAAAGTCCTAAATTCCTCTTGTGAGAAATAACAATGGGAGTACTAGACAGTATTAAAAGTAGAGGTATGTGTGTGATAAACCACCCCCCCCCCCCCCCCCCTCCAATCACATCCTCCTCCTCCTCTATAGGAGGTTGCTGAAGGAGAAGAGAGGAATTCAAACCTTGTGCTTAACTGAAGATTCTTATAAAATTAATGTATAAGAAACAACCATCATCTGAAAAGCTCAATATGAAAACATAGCATTGAAATGATAAAAGTAAATGGCAGAGAAACTCACTTCTCCAGCAACTCCAACCACGGGAAAAGATTGCACTGAAATCCTCCCTTGGGATGGGAATATCCAGTTTGCTTGGTGGGTAAGACCTTATTCCCCATATCATCTTGGGAAGTCTGCAGGCCACAAGCATTGCAGAAGGTTTCCAAATCCGATTCCTGACAAATCCAAATTTCGGTGTTACTTCATATAACGTACAACTAAAAAATTTTAATAAACAAAAGATATTTACCAAATTATACCTTAATCATCAGGATTTTTGAAAGAGATGTTAATGGATAAGGATGAAGCTTGTAGCCACTGGAATTTATACACGCTACAGCAAGTGCCCTAACCTTAAAACAAAGTGAAACAAACTCAATATAAGAACAATAATGAAGTTTTCAGGAAGAAAAGGAGCTTAAAAGCAGCATATACCAAATCTCTTTTGTTTGAACAATTAGATAAATAATAGCTACCCAACTTGGCACTTCTTATACATCTACCACATAACATTTGGAATAATTTTGTTGAAGAAACAAATAGATTTCCCTGGTCTCTCACAAAGGATTCAGGTTATCAAACGATTAAACTCTATAAGAAGTTTGGATTATCAAGGTAAAGGAATCTTATCGATATTATTGGAACTAGGAAGTGTTAGAACTTTGGAAGCACTGATATTTATAAATCGAGAAACAATAGTAATAGTACATGCACTAGTTTTGGAGACAACAGGAATACAGGATATTTTATAACATTTGCAGGTTGGATAAAAAAAAAAAAAAAAACAGATCCTTTGGAATCGATATGCATCCTCATGCGAAACTAAGTACCAGTTATTAAAATTTCTAGATTTCTACCTGTGAGATCTACAAACCTAAGGTTAACAGGTTGCAATAAGCATTCAGAACAGCTAATTATAAGGACCAATTAAGAGCTTCAAACTGCATATAGTGGTACTGTCCTTTGGAGGAGTAGTTGGAAGAAAATTAGAAGTCATTGTTGAGAATGGTCCTGTCTTAAGCCTAAGGGCCAGAAAATGGAAATGGAAATGGAAATTAAAAAGTAAGTAAGAAAAAGACGTAATACTTTTTTTCCCCCTATTTTGGACAGTTTTCACTTTATAAAGATCAAGCAAAAGAGAAGCAGAGGTAATCAGTGAATAAAAAAAGTGCACCTATGCATGAAGCCTAAAGCGATAGGAATCAAGCATTTCATTGAATTAAGAAGAAAAAAATGTAATATTTGGAAAATATTCCCAATAAAGCTAACAATTTCCAGCTTAAGATAACTGACCAAAACCCTAATGAGAAAAGAGGAGGATAAAGAGGGTAAAAAAAAAACATAAAGGTCACAATACACAAGGTATATCATATGTTTTCTTTAAGACCATGCTTGATCAGGAAGTAGTAATTATTACAAACAGCAACAATTCCAAAGCCATATTTTCCCAAAAGGATGAGACCAGCATGAACTAGTGATGGAGGTACCGACCCGGGTATGACGGAAAAATTGCCGTGTCCGAGTAACATAGGTAGCAGCCCCATTGAGTCCATCACAACTAACTAATAATATATCATCCGCAAAAAACAAACACCACGATAACTCATGCTGGATAAACCATGTTATGCAAAACTACTGCAAAGAGGAAAGAACATTAAGAACCTTAATCCTCTATTTCTCCGCCAATAGATTTCACATCTCAATAGATATCCTTATACTTACGTGGTATATCTTTTCCAGTTATCGCCAACTAAAACACTTCTCTTAGTAGCTTGTTATATGCTCACTCTAGTTCGATAAGGACCAAGTGCAAATTCTCCTTTCTTTTCCTATAATACTTCATTCATGGTAACATAAGATGAATGGCTTTTATGATGACTCGTAACTAATTCTGGGTATAAACCTTTATTAATTCACCAAAATACTAGTACATTTCTTAATAAAGTTAATACATCACCAAAGTGTTTTTTCTCCATCATTTTGGTCAGGTACCTCCATCACTCTAGTTTCAAAAAAAAAAAAAAAAAAAAAACAACTTGTATTCCCATCATTTCAAGTATGTATTAAAAAATGCAAACTTATTCACAAAAAGACACCTTTGCATATCAGCAAAGCACCATAACAAATGTCCAAATTCAAAATTGAACAACTTCAAGAATTCACGATCCATTTGGAATCCAATAATGAATAAGCACATAATTCCATCTATTCAATCCTTTCAACTACTTACCCTGACATGAGTTACTATTTACAACGTTATTTTGGAAAAAGGTTTATAACCATCAAATATTACCTATGCCATCTTAAAAAGTGTTTTATAATATTTGAAAACAGAGCCATATTGAAAATCATCTATACAAAAAATCCAAGGTAAAAGATCTTATCAAAGTACCAACCTCCATGATATAAGGCTCAATGATGCAGAACTGTAGGTTAGTTGCCTCTGATGCTACAGTGTGAAAGAAACGCCAAAAATTGCCGATCCGAAAAGACCTAGTAAGAAAGGGGTTACAATAAAAGTAAATTTAATGAGACAGTGCCCTTAAAAAAATTCCATTGGCATAAACAATGAGTCATATGTTAGCATGGCAAAAAGTATGTACCTTAACACTGTTCGCGCAAAGCACATCTCCTTTGAGCCAACAATATATGAAGATAGACGAGAAAACCACAAAGATAGAGACTCGCCCTATAGATAATATCAGCTGTATTAAGAGTCAGTACAATAAAGCAAGTAGAAAACTGTGACAATCAAATTCATAGCAAGAGTATCATCAAAGAAGAGAGCAACCGTTGAATGGCTATGAGTCTCAAGATGAAGGAGGACATATAAAGATCGATATTCAGCCTCATTGTCAAAAACAGAATCTGAAGTGCGGTTGATATCGTATAGGTTATATAGTGATCCAAGGCACTTAGTGAGCTGCTCCATATTAAGATGATGGATTGAAGATAAAGTGGTACTGTCACCCTCACATCTTCTAAGCTTGTAGTGGGAGGTGACATGAAACCTAATCTGCATTAGTCATGATCAATGTAACACAAAAGTCAGAGCATCATATTAGCTACCAACTTACAACAAGTAGTTCATGCCTAAAAAGCGACACAGTAGCCAATAATAATTAAAACTGGCCTGAGACGGCTAGGGTACAAGTACAACTCAGAAACTTGGTAACCCATAATTTCCTATTTTGTTGACTGGGCAAGTCGGCCTCCTTGCTCCTGGGTTAGAAGTGAAGAAGACCTCAAAGGTCAGCTAATTAGTGATAATTTTAATTTCTGGTTCTGCCTGATCTACTACGGTTCTTAAGCTGAACTCTGCATGACACTTTCAGGTTAGGGCATACTTGGGCGATGGATGGCACTTGGATTTTAGCAAAACTCACTTCAATACTTTTTCTCTACCAGATTTCTATGTGAAGGTTAGTACTTCAGTCAAATAGCATGGCCTATTGGCCTGTATTCATAAAGTCCGTTATAGTATAGTGTGTAGTCCGTACAGGCGTACACAATGAAATTGACTTTGCTTTAACTTCAATTCTCTGATTACTGATATGTTATTTTTCGGTCCTTTAGCAGGTTAGTTTGCATTTAAAAATAAAATAAAAAAAAATAAACAAAAAGAAAGACCTTTTGGACAATATAAGAGACTATAACATAATAAAATAAGCAAAATGGTACACTTCCTTTTTTAATGAACTTACCAAAAATTTTACAGGGTTCCCAAAGCTATATAAAAAATAGGGAATACATTGTTATACAAGTTTAGCCATATGTATACAGCTCAACTTCGCTTAAATGAAATGCTAAACACCAAAGATATTCTTTTGCACATCAAGGTATCATCAAAATTCTCCCTGTACATGGTATCCACTTTTACCAATGAACAATTTGGCAGTAAATATCAATGACATACCACATAACACTACGAGCACATGCATGAATTCAGTGACCTATTTAACATCTAAAAGTGAATAGTCTGCCAAGAGTCTGGATTTAATGATCCCACAAAATAAAAATTCATAATGCTATATGATAGATGTTGGTATGATACAGATTATTATGCAATCATTGACCAAAACAATATGAAAGGCTATACATATACAAGATTTTATGCCGTTGGGGTTGATAAGAGAAATCAAAGGTGCTACTATATATCATAACCAAACCACATGTTTTAAAGTAAACTATAGCAAAGCATTGCTCCCAAAATTACTTGTTAAGGTTAAAGTTTGGGCCAACCTTTCCAAGTAAACTTCTCTATGTATTTGAGACCCTTAGGAAGTCCTCCACTCATTTGTTATGCCAGACTTCATTCAGAAGTCAACACCCACAAATGGAGATGAATGCTCTGTTTGAGCACTTAGTCAGCAACCCTGAACTATACAAATGGTTCCACATAAGTTTGAGGTAGACAAGGAACAGTATAACTATGCTATTCACTCATACTGAAAAATACTATCCATTTAAGGAGAGCTCATAACATGAATTCATTCAGGTGTTCTAAGCTTTTCCTGATCTTCTTTACGCACACAAATCTATATGTGAAGTTGAGCACTTAAAAACAAAGCATAAAAATGAACAATTATAGCATACCATTTTCTCGTACATGCAGATCACTTTATCATTGTTGATGTTCTGCATGCTGAGATCTTGCCTAATGGACCTTGTCCTATCAGAGATGAAATCATGAAGAACAAGAAAAGAATGTTCAGATGAATCCAACAACTTCATAAGGTAATCCAATGTGTCCTCCAAAACCGGCAGAGGGCGTATATCTGATGCTTGAACTTCCTTCATTAAGATAGTTCTGCAAAACTAGTGAGAAAAAATGGGGTTCATACACAAAATGACTATTATGACAAGTTTGTCCACTATATTCACAACTTAACAAGAGCAAATTTTTAACAGGCAAAGAAATAAAACCTTGTTTACCATGTAAAGATTCCTAAGGAAAAATAAAAATAAATTAAAAAAATTAAAAATGCCACTTTCCATATCTTGCACTCAAAACTTGAATACAACCTACTAGAGTACTAGACTACTTGTCAAAAGAAGAGACTAAAAAAAAAAATTTAAGTCAACCATAAGCAACCATAGGCGGAGACAAAAAAAAGCCTTTAAAAAAAGGTGGCATAGTACTCCCTCCATCACATTTATAATACGAAGTACATGTTTTCCTTTTTAGGTGTTCCAAACTGTGTGTTACTAATATTTCTATTATTTCTATCATGATACACCTACTTTTTTACTTTCCCATACAAGATACCCCTACATTTTCACAAATATTTGTACCATCAATTATTTTTTACCCCTATATCCAATAGACCAATACTTCATTACATGTGATTATTTACTTTTTTTTTTTTTTTTTTAACTTTTCCATATAAAACAATCCAATTAATAAAAATGCTATCCACTCCCTGTAATAGTCTACAACCCTTAATTTTCATGAAAAATGAGAAACAGGCACTATATGATGGGACAAAGGGAGTAATAAGCATAGAGAGAAAGCAATATATATCCCTTGCCTCAGTAGTTGCATGGGACATAACAAAGCTTGTTTACTTGTTCAAGTACAGCAGATAGTGATACAATAAATGAAAATACATGTTCCATGTATCTAAGAGATTGAATTATATAAAAGTTAAGCATGAATAACCTTAAATACTAGTTTTCAATAATTAGAACTTTGACATAAAATTCTCCCTCCTTCAACACAAATTCCTGGCTATACTAATGCAACGAATTTACAATTTCAAAAGGACAATCAATTTCACTTAAACAACAGCAGACAAAAATTTTATAGGTTTACCTTTTTAACAGCGAGCATTGAGGATGATTTTGACTGATTTCCATTCAATCTTTCAAATACAGCTAGATCTCGAAGCTGCTCACGCTGGATTCTCTCCTTTTCTACCCAAAACAAGCAAGAAACATTAAATCACAAGCCCTTCTGTCTCATATACAATCAAAATAGAAAATTCAGTATTCCAACCGAAATCCAATTCTCGGAACACTAGACAATCAAAAGAATTTTCATTGTTCTGAAAATCATTAATACTATTATTTTTTTAATCATTGAATTTCCAAATTATTTCATTGATTTAAAATCCTTTTCAAATTCAACAAATATCAAGTATAACCCATAATAGGATTTAGCACCTAATTGGCCAATTCATCTCCTCTTAATCATAGTAATTCACATACCAATGAAAATAACTCCTATGCAAAATCAACAAACTTCAAAAATAAAACTTGAAAATCCCAATTATAGTCTTAGAGAAACCCCAGATCAGAAAATAAGTAAAATTCAGCACTTCAAAGATAAAACATGAAAAAAAATCCAAATATGAATTTTGAGTCTTAGAAAAGCCCCAGATCAGAAAATAAGTACAATTCAGCAGAAATTTATCACAGTCCTATATTTAATCAATGGGAATAAAAAAAAGGTGTATAATATACCTGGGCACATAAAAGGGCAAGTTCCAACAATACAGTGAGGAGTGGTACAATCAGTATCTTCTTCCAATGGAACTCTTTGGGGTCTGTTAGAGATGCGATTCCAATTGGGTTTTGGACCCGAAGTTCTGGTGACATAGTTGTGATGTCTGGAATTAGAATTAGAGTATGAAGATGAAGAAGAAGAACGAGAAGATGAAGTTGCAGAATTTTGGGAGGGATGATGATTTCTGTTCATTGTTAAGTTTTACAACAGTTTGCTTCTTTGTCCTCTCTTATTCCCAATTGAGTTAACTTCGTCAAGTAGACAAGTACTATGAATAATGGAATGGGTGGGTCCAACATAAACCGGTGAATAGGTTTAACTAGCATAGTACTTATATTCAATTAACAAAATTTTTAGATAAAACGATTAATGAATATTATTTAACTTTTTTACATAGGTGTCTATTTTTCACCCCTCAAAATAATGATATACTTACTATTTTAAAATTGGAGATTTTTCTATGTGGTCGGGTTACTCGGATTACTTCTGACCGAGTAACCCCTCAATTAACCATTGATCGATTAACCCCTGATCGAACCCCTGGCCTAGTAAACCCTCGAGTAACCCCTAATCAAGTAATCCCTCAAGTAACTCCCGACCGAGTAACCCCTCAAGAAACCTCTAACTGAGTAACCCCTGACCGAACCCCTCAACTAACCCTTGATCGAACCCCTCAAGTAACCCTTGACCGGATTAACCCTCGAGTAACCCTTGACCGGATTAACCCTCGAGTAACCCCTCAAGTAATCCTTGACCAAGTAACCCCTCACGTAATCCTTGATCGAATAACCCCTTAACTATATAACCTATACATAGTAATCCCTTAAGTAATCACTGACAGAGTAACCCTTCAAGTATATAACCCCTGACCGAACCCCTCAAATAACCCATGACCGAACCCATCAAGTAACTGCATCACCGGGTAACTCCTGACCGAGTAACTCCTCAAGTGACCCTTAACCGATTAACCCCTGACCGAGTAACCCCTCAAGTAACCTCTGACCGAATAACCCCTCAAGTAACCTCTAATTGAGTAACCCCTGACTGTACCCCTCAAGTAACCCTTGACTGGATAAACCCTTGAGTAACCCCTCGAGTAATCCCTGACCAAGTAACCCCTTGAGTATATAACCTCTGACAGAGTAACCCCTGGTTAGGGATGTTAAGGGGCGGGGCGGGGCGGATATTGGCCTTCTCATCCCCATCCCCACCTAATATTTTCATCCTCATCCCCATCCTCGCGGCGGGTCCAATTTTCATCTCCATCCCCGCCCCACCGGGTACAACTCCAAAACCATCCCCGCCCCACCCCCATTTGGATATCCATCCCCACCTAATCCCCACAAAAGACCCGCCTAATTCCCACCCAAGATCCACCTAATATCCGTATCTCAAATACACAATCTTACATAAATAATACGAATTATAAAATAAAACATTCTATACACATTTTTGTGTTATAATATAAGTGTCGTACAAAGTATTATAATTAATATTGTATTTCATGTAATTATTTTATAAATAGAATAAAAGTATGTAATTTTGCTTTAAAAGATATATAGATGTGGGGATGAGGTGGGGATGGGGCGGTTACGAAGTGGGGCGGGTGGGGTGGGGCGGGGCGGGGATGTGGCGGGTACAACTTAAAATCCACCCCCACCTCGTCACCCATGGTGGGTATGGTTTTTATCCCCATCCCCACCCCTCCATCCGCCAAACCGAGATCCATATGGGGCGGGGATGGGGCGGTTCTCCTACTTGACCCGCCCCACTGACATCCCTACCCCTGGTTGAACCCCTCAAATAACTCATGCCCGAACGGCCGAACCCCTCAAGTAACCCCTGACTGCGTAACTCTAGTAGTCTCTAATCGAGTAACTCAAGTAACCCCCACCAGACGATGTGGCCCACCACATATAAAAATTTGTGCTTGAAAATAATTTTTAATTTTTAAATTGAATGTATAGTTTATAAATATAATTCAACTCAATAGATGGAAGGAACAATCTGCTCTAGTACCATGAAAGGGTTTTATTCCTCCGTAATTAGGTGTTTAAGTTTTTTGTTTTCTTTTAGTTTTTCTTGTTTTTGCTTGTTTGAATTTTCCTTTCCTTGGTTATTGTAACCTCATTTGGAATTAAAATAATAAAAAAAAAAAAAATCTAGAGCATATACAGTTGTACATGTGTGAATTAGAATAACAAAAATATACTCTACAAAATAAGAGCATATACTCTCTTTGAATTAAGCAATCTAAAGTTAACTAATATGGATTAAATATATGCAGAATATCCGTGAGTAATATTGATTGAAAAATAATTAAAAAAATCAAGGATGTTTTCTTGGAGTATCTTTAATAATAAGATCTTTGACAATTATACAGTTTACGAAAAAAGAACACTCTAGACCATATACAATAGTTGTACGTGTGCTAATAAGGGTAGCAAAAATATATTCTACAAAATAAGAGCATATACTCTCTTTGAATTGGGCAATCTAAAGTCAACTAATATGGAAAAAATATATGCTGAATATCCGTGAATAATATTAATTGAGAAACAATATTAAGAATTTGAGGATATTATCTTGGAGTATCTTTAATAATAAGATCTTTAACAATTTATTGTTAATATAATTTGCCAAAAAAAAAAGGGACACGGACGTGTTCTATTTTAGTATAGTATATAATATATCTCTTATCATAGTGAATGTCATTGTTAATATAGATATTAAACACAAATAGTATTGTAAATTATGTGCATATGTATAATGATTATGTTAAACGTCATACATGGTAAATATTTTAATTTCAGAAAATATACTTACAAGATATATATGTATTCTTAGTTTATTAGTAAGAGAATGCTAAATAATTATATTTTGTATTTGTGTATATCGCTTAGTTTGTTAATTAAATATTCTTGTGCATAATTGTAGCTAATAGGTTTTTAAAGAGCAGCGAAAAGAAGAAAGAGGTGAGGAAGAAGATAGGCAGATTGTTAGGGATTTTAGGATATAAAATAAAATAATACCATGAAAGAGTTTGAATACTTGCCTTCTCATTAGGAACATATGGATTATATACAAATTACAAGAGCATAATTAGCCTAAACTTAAGGAATTTGATTAGCTAAAGTTATGCACAAGAATATTTACTTAACAAAACTAAGCGATATACATAAATACGGAATATAATTATCTTATATTCTAAAAGAAAAAAATATATTTTCAAATTTCTATATCTTTATCTATCTGTACTTAGTATTTAAAAAGACAAACCACAATCACCTAAATAACACATGTCATCATAATTCACCCATATGGCACATAACACATCCATTAATAATATTTCATCTTTATACTCCCTTTTAAAGTAAAAGATAAAATAAAGGAAAATTTGTCAAAAATAACACCACCTTTGGACGGTCTTCCAAGAATAGAACGACCTTTGTATTATTCTAAAATAACACCACCTTTGACTCATATCTTCCGTAAATAGAATGTAACCTGTTAATAACCTGTTTAATAGGTTACCTATGACACGTGTCAAACTGTCAGTGGTCATTTTTTTTTTAAAAAAAACATTAAATAAAAAAAACCTCGAATATAAAAAAAATAAAACCTTAATTAAAAAAAGAAAACCCCCTACCCAACCTCACAGGCCCAACCACCACTCCTCCTCCACTACCCAGTCCCCCTACCCCGCCGACGTCGTCTCTACCAGCCATCTCTTCCTGCCACGTGCCGGCGTCCGACCTTTTCCTACTCCCACTTAACTCAGGGCCCCTTCGCACCCTAACTTACCTCACGCACCTCCCAAATCGACAACCAAAACCACCAGAGCACCCTCTATTACTCGACAACAAGCGACATCAATACCACCATCACTTTCCAACCAAATTCGTCACAAACAGCAACTAATCTCGGCCATTACCCATTCCCTTTCCCCAGCCAGACCATACCTGTAAACAACCCATTATTGAAAAGGGGGAAGGGGTTTCGGGATTAAGGTTTCGAGGTAGGGGGTTAGTTTTCTGGGTGATTTCGGGTGGGTTTAAGGTAGCCAAGAATAGGGGAAGGAGGGTCATTACGGGAAGGAGGGTTGTTTTAGGGGAGGGAAGGTCGTAGAGGTAGGAATCGGGTAGGGGAGAAGGGTGAGCGGTTGCCAGCAGTGGGGAAGTGGTGGGGGTCGCCGGCGGGGGTGGGGGACTAAGGCACTGATGGGGGCAGGTGGTGAGGGGAGGAGTTTGTTTTATTTTTTTTAAAAAATATTGTTTCTAAAATAATTTTATTATTAAAAAAAATTGAAGTTTTGTTTTTTAAAATCATTATTTATTAAAAAAAAGTTAAAATAAAATACTTTTTTTAACCAATCACACATGGACACATGTCAAATATAAACTTGTGAAACAGGTTACATGCTTTTTGTTCTATTTTTGGAGGATGTGCATCAAATGTCATTTTATATTGAAATAATCCAAATGTCATTATATTCTTAGAAAACCGATGAAAGGTGGTGTTATTTTTGACAAAATTTCCTAAAATAAAATGTTATTGAATGCTAAAATCTTTATGCATTCCTAACTTTCAAATTTGAGTAAGAAAATGGAGTGTTCTATTTTCACTATATAAAAAAAAAGTTGTACTCCTCTCTATACCCCTTTTAATGTAAAAGTTAAAATAACAAATTATTTAATGTTAAAAACTTTATGTATTCCTAACTTGCAAATTATAAGTAAGAAAATTAAGCAAATTATTACAAAAAAATCACCAACACATACAACACGAATAAACAACACATTTCAAGAAAAATTAAATGAGCTACAACCCGTTCGTTGAACGGGCCAAAAGGCTAGTTTATATATTGAGTATTAAAAAAACAACTTAGACAGGGACACGTGGCAGCCATGGAGGTAGTGTACCCTAATTTAGTCTATATATAGATTATAGTAAAATAAATTTAATTTAATAAAAATAAATTCAATTCTGTAAAATCCATATCATATAACTATAACTATCAAATCAAATAATAACTAATATATAAAGCTAAACTTTTTGGCAGGTCACGAGGCAGCGACACTTGACGTTCCAACTTTTCGCCAAGTGTTGCACTACATTGAATAAATTTAAATAGACGAGGTCACAAGACAAAGTCACTTGGCGTTTCAACTTTTCGCTAAGTGTCGCGCCACGTAGGATAGATTTAAATAGACTTCCTAAGATAAAAAAAAAGTTAGTTTAGAATTCTATTTGGATAGAATCTTAGTAT